ATAATAAGTATTTCAAAAGTGGTCTACAAAAATGTTCATAGATAATACCTGATTAATGTAGGGTTTGCTTTTGAAAGTTAATCTTGCATTTAGTGTTTAACATATTTGATATTAATACAAAGAAATATGTAAAACGTTGTGGTTCAATTATAACAGTAAGTTTGCTGCAATACAGGTTAAAAATTTTAATGGCAAAATGATATACAATTATTATGCATGGCTTCTTAGTTATAACTAATGAGAACATAAAATCATAAAACTTCATAATTTAATAGAAAATATTAGATAATACAAAACTTAAGTGCTGATTTGCTGGTAGTCTGGTGGTTGAATCCATTGTCAAATGGTAACATCTTAATTCTCAATCTATCAAATTGTTGAACTATTACTTAACTGGAGTAATGAATTTGGATATAACATAAAATATAATTTTATCTTAAATATAAATAAAGTCATTATAATTGGTTTGAGGAGAAAAAGCTAAAGGAACTAAAGCAATTTTGTCTTGAAGAACTGAAACTTAGATGTTAATTGAGAAGCCTGAAGCATACTGAAGACTACCAATGTTAGGCAGGATGAACAACAGCTTTTTTTCCTACCGGGTAGGAGAAATGAATTTAAAATGAACAGGAGGGAGACAGAATAGATATGAAGGTAACTTTCCTGACACAGAAGATTATCAAGTCAGATAACTGAGGGATAGAGCAAGTCAGACACGTACTATGAAGTGGTTTAAGGAAAGTAATGGATACGTGCACTGAAATACCCTGTGATTTCCTCTTTCCTTTTATGTTAATGTAGAAACTTGTAGAAAAGCCTTCTTTTGATAACTTTTGTGTAACTAGCTCAAACAGTGATTTTCTAGATTGACTTGATTAAGAAATATATTTATGAGGGGATTATGCAAGGTAATTTTGGGTAAAGTGTCCATAGTTCATAATCTAAAAGTTAGAAGGTAACTTTATCTGGTAAAGAGTAAACTGCCAGTAAATAGTATGAATACTTATCATAGAAACATCTGAGTCTGAAAATGTCTCCTAGGTTGTATGTGTAGAGTATATGTGGGAGTGTTAACACAATTTCTAGAAGGACTGGTCTAGATAATCAATGAACATGTCTGTATAGATTCTAACTTTAAGGAGTTAGCTGGGAGATAATACATAAAGCAATCAGTGAATAGTTTAATAACCTGCATATAACTGGTAGTATGTTCAACATAAATTTAGAAAATGCTGTATAGAAACAATATAATCTCAAGTTCTAGGAATTAACAATCTCCAATATTCATGTCCATAAATATGAAAGAAAAAAACAAAAAATGTATTGAAATATTTTTCCATTTTAAATGACTTTCAAGAGAGACTTACAAAGACTAGAAAGTTCAGTATAATAGCTGCAGCCTATCAGGTATTCCATTTGACCTTAGAAGCCAAATTTGAAAATATTTTAAATAAAAATACTTGCCAAATTTTGTGATAATTGCCACTCAAATGCATGCTTACTTGAGTGTTCCTTCCTCTCTAATTATTTTTACATTCAGAACCAAGGTACAATTTCTGGAGCAAGTGGATACATGTAAGGAAGCCATACTAAACTGTTGTATAACAAGGACATCATCCTTGTATCCTTCCTACATACCTACTCAATTAGTTCTTGGGATTAGTAAATTTTCTAAAGTCACTAAAAGCAGAAATCTTGAAGATGGAGTCAAAGGACTGATAAGACTGAAATTTGATGTTCAATTAAATCAATTTAGGAAAAAGATTCTGTTCCCAAAAGATACCTTCAACTTTCCTTTAAAAATTTACTTTACCTTTAGTTCTACAATATAAGAATGTTAGGAATGAAGCAAAACGATTTTAAGATTCATGATGCAGATGTAAGATTGAATTTTGTCTTGAATTAGTAATTATATCTCAAACAACAATTAGAACAGACATGTCTACATATCTTCTTATGTTTGCCTAACTTCTAAGATCTTTAAGGTATCTGGTTTGGCTTATATACAAACCATAATTGGGCTGGAGTATAATGACTGAATTTTTTACAAAACATCAGCACATTACACATCCCGTCATACAGCATAGGCAGTGTGGTGTGGATGAGAGATGCGGAGAAAGGCAGATGCAGGCTAAAATCCCAACTTTGTCTACTATTTGATGTGAACCTTGGGCAAATTACTTAGCTTCTCTTAGTTTCAGTTTCTCTTCTGTAAAGTGGGAATAATAAATATAATACTCATATGGTTGGTCTGAGAATTAAAAGAAACAGGGTATATATACCCTAGCATTCAATATGTGCCCTCCCATAACTTTACACTGATAATATTGTTTTTTCCTATTATGCAGTTAGAAAAGGTTTTAAGAATTTATAATTAAATAACTTTTGTCTAAACTTAATTCAAATCGAGTTCTTTCAATGACCTAATTCTGGTGTACAATTAGGAGTTTGTTAAGAGAACTACTATTAGACTTTGATTATTTATTATAATGCTTTTAAGGTGATATTACTATCCAGTAGAATTTTAATATTTTTAATTGAATGGCCTTTTATTCAAAAAGAATCAAATATTAATACTTTTCTACATGTAAAATTTTGATACCAGTTAAATATCAGTTTTAAGAAACAGTATCAGATGAATAAAGTTAGTAATTAAGTCATTTAGTGATTTTACTTGCTTATACATTACAACCAGATTCTAAAAGTCTGATGTACAATTTAAAATTTATTAAAAAGATCTATAGTTTCTACCTTTCCTGTTTTTTCAAAAAAGCGTCTACTAAGAAAAATTGGGGAAAAGAAATTATTTGTTTTAAACATGCTTGAATGAAATAGGAAACTATATGGAGTTCTTTTAATCTGGAATATTAATGTTTTCAGACATTTTATTATTAAACATTAAAAAATGTTGGAAAACTTACAATCAAGTGGCCCAAATACAAAGTATAACAGAACATAAGATAACTCTTCTGGCAGGAAAGGATCAGTTACACTTCAAATGGTTATTTATCCTCAATGCTTCAAATTGGAGAAAGAATATAATTTACTTTGATTCAAAAAATGTTTAAAAAGAATATCCTGAAATGCATTTGAAAGGCATTTAAAGGCAAGAGAACTAAGTGAAAATGTACTGGGAAAGATACGAATAATTTGTTAATAGATAGAAAGATAATAACTGTGGGCCAGGTGCAGAGGCTCATGCCTGTAATCACAGCACTTTGGAAGGATTGCTTGAGCCCAGGAGTTCAAGGCTGCTGTGAGCTATGATTGCGCCACTACACTTCAGCCTAGGCGACAGAGCAAGAGCTTGTCTCTAAAAAAAATTTAAAAACCGGTGGAAAAAAAGTATATTCTAGAAGACTGAAAATTCTGTAATGGGTCTGAATCAAGGGAAAGGCCAATAAAACATAAAAGGTGGAAATCCTGGGCACTTGTAAAATAATCTTAATTCTAAGAATTCCGAATTGTGTTTAGCAATCCAGCTGAATAAAGTGGTAAGTGCTGTAACATCTAACTCATAAGATCACAGCAGATGGCAAACAAGAGAAGGCTTATATACAAGCAAGTCACAAGTATTTTGGGCAGTAAATTGGGAAATTTAGGGTATCTTTAGGTAAATGATAGAAGAATCTGAATGAGAAAATATTGTTCAGAAGATAAAGACCTAAATCAGGAATTTATTTGGGGATTTGCATTTTCCTCTTAACTTTTTAATCCCCAGAAATATCTTAGAACTTAATTAGATAATGCCTATGAATCACTCTTGGAATCTAAAAAAAATAAAACAAGTCATAATTGTTTGCAAATTGATAGAAAATAATTTGTGTTTAGGAAAAAAGTCCCTTATTTGACAGAAAGTGCTTTATTAAAAAAATGTGCAGGGGTGGTTGTTTTAGAGAAGATTATTAGTAATGAAGAAAGCAAAGGAAGCATTAAAAAATACAATTTCAAGACATGTAGTCACTAAATGGTATGATCTAATAAAATGGAAATAATAAATGATGCTCACATATCAAAGATCATGTTAAAGGTTGGCAAAAGAAAAATTATGAAAATAAGATTAGCAAAGAAATATTGAATAAAGAGAGGCTAAATCTCAGTCTGTTCAAAAAAAAAAAAAAGATTTGGCAGCAATCCTTTCTTCTATAGGGATTTGACATGCCAGTTGAATGATTTTTCTACACAGTGTTTTAGGCCATGAGGAATCACCATCAGATAAAGTTGCCAGGTTTGCTTGGGAACAGAGTAAAGGATATTATAGGTTTAAAACTATGAATTACTTTAGAAATTATAATAAACAGTAAATGTAATTTTATTGGAGTCAAAGATGGCCTATTCAGAGAATAAAAGTTACAACACTAATATTGTCTTAACCATCTACCTACTTAGAAATCCCATGTAGGTATAGCTCTGTAAGTTTTCTGATAAAAATGTGTTTCATAAATAAATGAATATGGAACATGAACATATATTAAAAAATGAAATAAAATGGGAAAAGTCTAATATTTGATTTCCTGTATTTTGTTCTATTCTCTCTTATGAACTTCCAAAACTAGAACCAAATATGTTTATTAAAATGCCTGGAAGGAAATGTTTAGGATTTGGAAGGTTAAAAGAAATGGCATTTCAAATTAGGTTTTGGTAGTTCCTTCTTTAGAGCCCTTTGAGAAAATGTTTCTGCATTCTCCATAAGAAGAGAGAAAGTAAAAAATCAGGTAGCTGTTTTCTCCTGTGCAAAATTCACTGTCATAGAACTGACCTACAAAAAGTATGGGAGATAGGAGAGAAAAATGTTCATATTGTGGAAGAATGTGTGCCCTGTTAGGAAGAGAGCTTACAAGAAAGCTTATTTGTGGCCTATAGACTATTGCACATTCAAACAAAACACAAGAGAAAATAATGTCCAACAGATAATATGTTCAGGAACATATCAACATTTAAACTACCTTGTGCCCAGAAATAAAACATGGATACCAGACACCACTGCAGTCAAACCTGTCTTAATTTGCTTTTGTTTTAATGACCTTTAGAAACTGGTCCAAACTGATTATCAGCAATATATTGTTTTTGCTTTTTTTTCTTAAAAAAATATTTTGAGACCACTTTTGATACACACACATATAATTCTGTGGTCATAACAGACAAATATAACTTTAGCAAGACTAAACAAAAGTGCAAAACTTAAAAAACAAAATTAAAAAATATGGAAGCATAAGCTAAATTTTTCTGCATAGCTGAAATCTATTTAAAGCAAGTCCTTGTTACAGGGGTGGGAGGCGGTGCTGACAAAAGGATAAAGCAGTTTTTTTTTTTTAAATGTCTTCTGCATGTTTAAACGATGCAAAAAATAATTTCACTCCATAGGCTTCACAGACAGTTCATTCCTATATCTTTAGACACCATGGTTGTGGCAGTGCCTCCATCTGCAAGGTAAACAGCAGTGCTGGATTTGGAATGAACTGCCCTGTCACTGCCATTGTTGTTGACCTCACAGTCCAGTGGTTCAGTAGAGATGACCCAGGTGGAGGGGCGCCACCGCTTAAGAGAATAGGGAGTTTTCACACGTTTCTTGATCTTTTCCCCTGATCCTGATTTGCCATCTTGTGTTGACTCACCTACCAAAAATAAAAGTACAGAAAATGAAGTACATATAAAGAAACTATTAAAAAGTAAAAGGTCAAGGTTGCAACTCAAGAACAGATCAAACTAATGTATGTGGAGGGTGCTGATGGACATTTCTTAAAATTCATGATGCCAAGCAATGTTTTTCTAGGCAAAGCTTATCCGACTTATATTTGAGACTCTTTTAAGCCAAATGTTTTTAAAACTAATTGAACTATTCTATAGGGGCAAGGACGAAATATAGAAAAAAAACAAGAAAAGTAAAAATGGAGGAGAAAATTCAAAGTTCTCAGCTGTACTCTCAAATATTTTGGTTTTGGTAGAGATCCTAACTTGGTAAAATGCACTTAATCATTCTAATTAATGCTCAAAGTAGATCAAATTTTGTAGGTACCTGGTATATAGTATTTTTCAGAAGAATGGCAGAAATATTTGAGTACAAATTTTCTAGTAATTCCCTCTTCCCAAACCTGACAAGATGTTTTACTGACACAGAACCCTACAATACAGCCCTGTCATCTGGTCTATAATACAAGCCATTCAAGCAAGGGACTAGATTTTATTGATTGTTTTCTGAGACCTGTATCCTCCTTCAGCCCATTTTGTAGTCCTTGACAACCATAAAACATAACTTTTCTTTTCCCGGTAAGTGCTTTAGTCTAAAAGAGAAATCATGTTGTATAATGACAACTGTTACAGATTATGGTGAGCTCTCCTGTTTTGTGTTGCAATCCCTTTAGGGCAAGAAACCAAACATCCATTTAAGTTATTTGTTTAAGATGCTATGGGGCTCATAGTATAATACCATAGGTATGTGATAGATTCAACACATAACTTTTTTTGTTTAATTTTTAGAGACAGGATCTAGCTCTATTGCCCAGGCTGGAGTGCCATGGCATGATCATAACTCAATGGAGCCTTAAACTCCTGGGCTCAAGGGATCCTCCTGGGACTACAGGCATGAACCACCGCACTCAGCTAATTTAAAAAAATTTTTTATAGAGACGGGTTCTCACTGTGTTCCTCAGGCTGGTCTTGAATTCCTGGCCTCTAGTAATTCTCCTGTCTCAGCATCCCAAAGTGCTGGTATTAGAGGCATGAGTCACTGCACCCAGCCCTCAACATGTAACTCTTGAAAAAGATGACACTAAGAGACTGAGAACAACTTTAAAGTTTCTTTATAGTAACTTTTCTAAAATTTCTCTGGACTTTTATTAAGGTTAGTCTGATAATCTAAATATAGATATAGTAGATATTAATATGGACAACAAACTGTTTCAAAAGTTACACTGACAAAATTACTTGGGGCTCTTAAACTGGTGAGTACTTAATCTCAAGTGTTCATAGCGAGTACGTGAGTTGCATTATAAAGCTGTAGCCATATAAAGCACATATTAAATTGGTAATTATTCTGACTATTGTGATACTATTATCAGTGACAAAAATATTATTTTTCTTTACAATAGTCTAATTAGTTTTGAGCCCTAATCAAATGGTTTATTTTAGTTCCAAAAGTGGTAAAGGTATAATCACCAGTTGAAACGTAATCTGATTCTAAGTACTTATTTAAATGGTCCCAAAAGACACACAGGAGAAATGACACGATCCCTCCACTTACTCTGCATACTGCTGCCATCCAGGACATTTGTGGCTGAAAGATCAAGAGAATTAGGCCTCTGTGCTCTTCTGGGCTTTGATGGCCCAGGATCTGCTACTGTGCTTGGAACACCCTGTGTAAGAACATCTTGTTCTGAACATGGATTGCTGTTGTTGTTATTGGAATTAGTTCGGCCACCTTCTAGTGGCCGTTCCCTCCTGTCCACAAGACGATCCAGAACACCTTCATCATGGCCAGCCTGTTGCTCTCGTCTCAGTAAAGGTTCATGCTCATCAGGACTAGAATTAATATTCAGGCGGGTATCCTCACCAATAAATTGATTCTGCAGCATTTCTTGGGCCCTATGTGCCACTATGTTGGTTGTCTGGCCAGATGGTACCGTCCCATTGGCATACTGGGTTGTGGCAGCATGGGAGTTAACACTGTGGTTTCTACCTGCCACACCATTCATGGTGACTGTCACCACATGAGGTTCTGCTGCATTGATTGTATTCATCTTGGCAACTCCAGTTTCTACTTGTTTCAAGTTTGATTTGTGCTTGCTGCCAAATTTAAGCCGGGGCTCCTTTGTTGAATTTTTGGTGTTCAAAGGCAAACTAGTAGGTCTCTTAGGAAGGTTCTGTTGCTTGGGGAGAGGATAGATCTGAGCAGGCAGAACATCAGGAATTAAACATGCTTGGCCATTTGAAGCTTGTGTGAACTCCTGCTGTCCAGTCACTTCTACTGCAAGCTTTATGAGTGGGTAAAGTAAGCTAGAACTGGTACTGCTCAGTGGATCTGGCCCACTGAACTGTTTAAGAGAATGCTCCATGAGATTCTCATCTGAGCTTTCCTTGAGGTTCTTATCAACTTCTTTTGGGTCTAGCTTATTGGTCTCCAAGTCTTCTTCTGTCAACTGTAAGCAGACAGGGGTTGGCCCAATTGACTGTGCAACATTTGTGGCATGCAAATTTGTTTCATCTGGGTATGGCATCTCAGATATAGTGGTCATGCCAGTACTTGGAGTGAGGCCAGTGGTGTTTGTGGTGGTTGTGTTGGTGGACAGGCTGGTGACACTTGTTTCAGGGCTGGGGATTCGAGCTTGTGCTTGTTGACGTTCATAATTAATTGAGTTTCTATTCTTCTCCCCTGCAGTCAAAGGTGTGCTAGACATTGAATGCTCAGAGGAAATATTCTTCACAATGCTGTCAGTGTGATGGATAGAGTCTTCAATGTATGAGGAGGAAGAATAATCTGGATAAGGACCAATTTTTGGCACACGCCTATTATGTGAAAGGTTGCTTAAAGAAAGAAAAAAGTGTCATGTTGAGAATGCACATTTATGACAAACTGTCTCTCCAAGTTTAACACCTCTGATTTTAAAGTCTGAGCTGCTTTTCATTTTATTTCTAACTCATATATATTACTTTGGAAATTACTTAAAAAGTCTAATCAAATAATCAAGAGCCAATTAATAACTTGATAAATGTTAGTTTTACATGAATTACACCTACTGAAAATTCTATATGGATCTAGATATGGTTTTAATAAATGTTCATTATATTTGTTTACAAGAGTTAATTTAAAAATATCCCTTATAGTTTTATAAAATCATCAAATATATCTTTATCAAATGTATACTCATACCACCAGACATTATATTTAATGCAATGAGGAACCACAGCATGTTTCTTTTGTACTCCCATAATTCTAGATACATAGTTCCTACTCAACAAATATGTTATCAGTTAAGTTTCAATGGCCAAATGGTAAAAAGAACATAAGCTTTTAGGCTATTCCAAAGTACCTCCACTGAGAGGCACAGCTTAGTAATGGAATATATCTTTCTGGGGTAGTCTGAGCCATATCAGTGAAAGTCCTTGAGCCTAGGGTATAAGAAAAAATGTAACATTCAGATAAAAGATCAAAGATTCAGAACTGCTCTCCTGTTATCATGGGTTCTTCACAGTCACTGCCACTCCTTGGGAGTGACAATTCTTGACCACCACCTTGTAATGTATTTATATTATTTAAAATCTGACTAAATGGGAGTGGGGAGGAAGGGATAGGTAAATTCACAGCTAATGGGTACAATGCACACTATCTGAGTGCAGGACACAATTATAACTGTCTTAAACTGTACAAAAGCAAATTATGTAACCAAAACGTGTGTAGCCCCATAATATTCTGAAATAAAAAACAAAATAAAATAAAATTTGACTAAATAAAAACCAGAAGTGGCTAGCTTAACAAAAACAGTCAAGGTATAAACATTGAGAACATTAATAGATACAAGTGTTATAGGAGAGAAGCAGCAGCCAAAGGAAAAGAGGTGCTTTTTATAAAGGGAGACAGATGAAGTTATGAGGGGAATGCCAGGAGGGGAAGAATAAAAAATTGATATATAGCACAAGAAAATGAAGCTAACGAGGGTAAGATTCAATAAAATGAAACCTAGAGTGAGAATGATTATGGGATGAACCATAATTAAGGGGAAACTATTAGTAGAGATTAGAAGATCATGCAGGGGGGTAGAACTAAATGACAGAGGAGGCAAAAAATGGCCAAAGCAAGGGACAGCATCAAGAGTTTCTTTTTACCATTCAAGAAAATTTCAAAAGTGAAAGCTTTAGCTGACTTTTTTTTTTTTTTTTTTTTTGAGACAGAGTCTGGCACTGTTGCCCAGGCTAGAATGCAGTTGCATCATCATAGCTCACTACAACCTCAAACTCCTGGGCTCATCCTTCTGCCTCAGCCTCCCCAGCAGCTGGGACTACAGGAGTGCACCACCATGCCCGGTTAATTTTTCAATGGGGTCTTGCTCAGGCTGGTCTTGAACTCCTAACATTAAGCAATCCTCCTGCCTTGGCCTCCCAGAGTGCTAGAATTACAGGCATAAGCCACTGTGCCCAGCCTTTAGCTGAATTTTGAGAGAGCTATAAATAGCATATTAGGGGACATGAAAAATACAGAGATGAGGGAAGATGAAAGCAGAACACTGTCCTCAGGTATGTGTAAAGTAAGATGATTTATATTTAGAATTCTTAGTTCACACTTCCTTGACTTACTGATGTATAAACTATAAAAGTTTATATCTGAAGCTAATTCAACCATACATTAGTAGCCAAACCAATTTTCAACCCATAGTTCAAAATATAAATTGCTTTTAGAAATTAGAAGAATAGAAAATAACAAAGAAATTGATTCAAGAATCAATTGTAATTTTATCTTAATTTTCTCCAGTAACCCTTTCCTGGATGCCTTTCTGAAAGTTATAAAAATGTATTACATAAAGTGACAAATTCATAGGAAGGCTTTTTTTCCCCTAAACATGGAAAAAAGAAATATAGATGACAATCTGAAAGTTCCAAGTTGTAGGAATTTTTAAAAAGCCCTTTAATTTAGAACCAAAAATCATAGTTCTAATAAAAGAAATGTCTCTAAAATAATGTTTATGATGAATGGAAAGACCTTTGAATTGTTATTCAAGTAAAAGTAGTAATAATGTGTTCTGTAAGAAAGAGCATTGCATAGGAAGTCTGAAAACCTTAGCATCAGTGAATCTGTGGTTAGATACACAGGTAAGTTCATGGTTCCATTTACTTTTAAAAAGAAAAAGCAGGGAGGAAGGAAAATAACAAAGGATAAATGAGACAATATATGTAGAAGCTCACAAACTTTTAGAACTATAAAAATGTTTTGCCTTTATTATTACAAGAAAGTTGGAATGTCAAGAGAGAAAGACTAATTTCCTTTACTACTGTTTTAAATATAAAAAACAGATTCCATCTTATACTCATACCAAACAAAAATTTCAGTAGAATGGGAATTTTGAAGGAAAAATTATAACTTCAGACCATATGAGTTTATCATTGCACCATCAGACTGGTCAACAGTATTTTATTCCTGTTCTTTGTTTGGTCTCAGTTTCTAATGCTGGTTGATAGATGCCAAACCCTCGGGGTCTTACCGCTCATTCTGCATAGCAGTAGACATTGGATTGACTGTTGGGCTCACAGATTTGTTTCTTTCCCATATCATCATAAGTTCAGCCATCCTCTCCTCAGCACACTGTGCAGTAAGCCGAGCTTCTGCATCCTGGTCCCAACAGTCTTCGATTGTCTCCTTGAGTGACCTCACTGCCTGTAATGCAAAGTACATGTTAAAACTGTGTGTCTTTAAAAATGAGTTGAGCTTTTTAGTTCACAATGTGAGCAAAAAGAAAATCAGTTTCTTTAACGGTGTTTATACAGCGATCATAATATATTTGGACTTCAAGGATTTGTAAAGGATCATATTCTCAAAAGGTGAGAAGTAAGCAAGATTTAACTTAACTCCTTAAAGAATTATCCATAAGAGTAAGCAACTGGAATAAGTTACAGATGTTTCTACAGGCACAGTTTTATGTCATGTTTGATTTGCAGCCCTATTATTTCAGTCAATAGTCACTAATTCCACTTCAAAATAAGCCTGAGTTTGATGAAATTTGGCATTTGGCTATCTTCTGTCCTTAGGTGAGCTTTTTCTCCTTTATCCCTAGTTAAGAGTTCTTCATTCCAACCTTAAAATTGAAAGACATCTCTTCTTTAAACTATTAATAGTTCCAATGGTAGTATCAAAAAAGTTCCATCTTGTAGTATTCCTATACATCAGCAATGAACAATAGTTCCCTTTGGGGAAAGCTGGTTTTAACTCCTTTTTGAAAAACAGACCTTGATACTGTGGTGGACTGTCATCCAGAATCCCTTCAGACTTGTTTTTGGATTTGTTCTTATTAAGCTTCAGTCTTTTCACCTGCTCTGATATTTATACTTTCTTTACCTTTAAAAACTTTCCAAAGATGTGTTAGGCTAGGGTTGCCAGATTTAGCTAATAAAATATAGAATGCCCACTTAAACTTGAATTTTAGATAAACAAATAATTTTAAGTGTAAGTATATCCCACACCATATTTAACCTGGGTATATTTATCTGAGAAGCCTATTTTATGCTAAAAATCCTTGATACTATCTTGGCAACATTTTTATTGCTTCATAATAACTTGTATTCTGCAACAACAAATCTGAACTTTGAACCTACCAGAAATCTAATAATGTTCTTTCTGTGCATACACTCACTGCATACCTGCACCATAGTCCATTTAAGGATTTGAAAAGTTCCCACATAAAAAGGAACCTAGAAAGACTGCACATGTACAGGGCAGGATGTATGTTTAGAAAAGGCCTGGGCAGACCACATAAGCTTCATTCATAATTGGGTGGGGGCATAGCAGGAAGTGAAGGCCTTGCATGTTGTAAAAGGCCTGGATAAGTTATAAAGGAAGGCCCCAAAACAGAGCCAATCTACAAAGACCTGGAGAGTTATTCTTTTTGTTATAAATTCTCTATTTTCTTTTTGACCATCATGATATTCAAAATGTCTAGTTTTAACAAAAAATTACAAAGCACACAAAGAAACAAGAAAATGCCGGGCGCGGTGGCTCACGCCTGTAATCCTAGCTCTCTGGGAGGCCGAGGCGGGCGGATTGCTCGAGGTCAGGAGTTCAAACCAGCCTGAGCAAGAGCGAGCCCCGTCTCTACTATAAATAGAAAGAAATTAATTGGCCAACTAATATATATACAAAAAAAAAAATTAGCCGGGCATGGTGGCGCATGCCTGTAGTCCCAGCTACTTGGGAGGCTGAGGCAGGAGGATTGCTTGAGCCAGGAGTTTGAGGTTGCTGTGAGCTAGGCTGACGCCATGGCACTCACTCTAGCCTGGGCAACAAAGTGAGACTCTGTCTAAAAAAAAAAAAAAAAAAAAAAAGAAACAAGAAAATATGACCCATTCACAGGAAAAAAGAATTACAGAAACTGTTCTGAGAAAGTACAACATTGGATACTACACAAAGACTTTAAATGAACCATCTTAAATATGTTCAAAAATTAAGAAACCATGGACAAAGAACTAAAGGACACCAGGAAAACAATGTCTCATAAATGGAGAATAGCAATAAAGAGATAGAAACTATTAAAAGCAATCAAAAAGTACTTTGGACCTGAAAGGTACAACTGAACTAAATAGTAACTACAGTGATATTTCACAGCAGATATGAGCAGAGAGAATAAAGAATCAGTAAACTTGAAGATAGAGAAATTAAAATTATCCAGAATAGGAGCAGAAATCAAAAGAATGAAGAAAAATGAACAGAGCCTAAAAGACTTGTGAGACATCATCAATCATACCAAATACACATAATGTGAATTCCAGAAGGGGAAGAGAAAGAGGCAGGAAAAATATTTGAAGACATAATGGTTCAAAACTTCTCATACTTAATAAAAGAAATGAATCTACACATCCAAGAAACTTGATGAACTCTAAGTAGGATAAACTCATAGTGTTCTACACGGAGACACAGTATAATCAAACTGTCAAAAGCCAAAGATGAAAGAGAGACTCTTGTTAGCTAGAGAGAGGAGACTTGAAATGTACATCAGATCCTTAATAAGATTAAAGGCCATTTCTTATCAGAAACCATGGAACCCAAGGAAGTGGTATAACATATTTAAAATGCTGGGAAACAAAACAAAATAAAACCCAACTACTGACCAAGAATTCTACACCAAAGAAAATTATTATATTACTCAGCCATAGAAAAAAAAAAAAAAAAAAAGGACTAATACTCTTATACTAACCTGGACAGAACTGGAGACCATTCTTCTAAGTGAAATATCACAAGAATGGAAAAACAAACACCACATATATCCACCATTAATTGGAACTAATCGATTAACACTTAAGTGCACATATGGAAATAACATGCATTGCAAATCAAGCAGGTGGGAGGGGGGAAAGGATGGGTAAATTCTCACCAAAGGGTACATGCACATTATGTGGGGGATGGGCACACTTATAGCCTAGACTCAAACAGTACAAAAGCAATAATGTAACCAAAAAGTTTATACTCCATAATATTCTGGAAAAAAGCAGAAACTAAGATATTCCCACATAAACAAAGCTGAGGGAGTTCACTGCTAGTAGAACTGCCCTACAAGACATGCTAAGGGAGTCTTTCAGGCTGAAGTGAAAGGACACTAAGAAATAACTAGAGAAAAGTCTACTTAAATACTAAAAAGCAGTTTTTTTTTTGGTTTATAATGCCTCTTTGTTCTTATATAATTAAAGAGAAAGTATAATATAATTTATATTATATAACAAATATTAAGATGTTAATTCTTAATTGGTTTATAGATTTATATAATTTCACTAAAAATTTCAGCAAGGTTTTCTGTAGAAATTGATAAGGTAATTCTAAATTCATCATGGAAATGCAAAAGGCTAGAATAGCTAAACATGTGAAAAGACAAAGAGTACTAATTTTATTAGATTTTAAGACACAATATA